AACCTAATGCTATGTATGAAACCAATCCAACGTTTTGGTAGAATTCATTGTAATTTCATGCTTGGTTCACTTGGAAATGCCCAAATTCTGTTATAAGATAATAAAGATTGATCTCATGTGAAGTTTTACATGGGTTTAATTTTTACTTTTTAAGAGGGATATTCACAATCTTCTATAATAGAAAATAAGTGTGCTTTTCTAATAAATTTTCTAAAGTTTTAGATTTGTGAGGGACATAGCTTTAGCGTATCTCTTTGCCACCTCCCGGTAGGGTATCTTTGGTGCCCGAGACACCAAAAGTCCATTTTTAATATCATATCTTAATTTAGTAGAACATTGTATCGTACGATAACATTGTGAAGTTCTTGGGAACTCACTACATAACACAGTACATGATTAACTGGTATTTCACCAGATGATGTTGCCTGATTATTATACAATGTTTCTGAATGGTAACATTTTACTGGATTACTGTCTTAAATACTGGAGGTGAAGTTATGGTGACTTGGACCCTCACCTCCTCTCCATAATTCTCCAAGAGGTTGGTGTTTTTAAAACCTTGAGGAACCCGCCTACTAGGAAAAAGGGCCGGTTGGAGAAGTGTTAAGCACACGTCACCTTCATTGTTGTTTAAGCTTCTTAATGACATTCACTGTGCTTATTTTTTGCTTCTAAAGGTACTCTCCACTACATAATGTCAAGCGACCATGGGAACAGCATCCTGATCAGCCTTCCCAGTATCCATCTACCATGTTATTAACTGCAGATCATGATGATCGAGTTGTGCCATTGCACACACTAAAATTATTGGCGGTCAGTATTTGAAGAATTTTATTTGATTGAAAAAATTGGTTGTCGTACGTTATTTCTTTGACTGCTGCAAATATTCTTTTTTTTGGGTTATAGCCTGCAATCTTATTATATCTTACATTGGCAATTATTTATGGAATGACATACCTTGCATATACACCTTCGTTGTATTCTCTCATGCATTCTGTTCATCTTCACAGACAATGCAATATGTGTTATGCTCGAGCCTGGAAAATAATCCCCAGACCAACCCCATCATAGGTCGTATTGACTGCAAGTCCGGACATGGAGCAGGGCGTCCAACGCAGAAAATTGTAACATTTTATTTACAAGGCATTGGTGCGCTATTGTTATATTGGATACGATTTAATTACTTTTGCTGTTGCACTGCAGATTGATGAAGCTGCTGACAGATATGGCTTCATGGCCAGGGTGTTGGGTGTTTCTTGGATCGAGTAACTGGTGTCTCCTTTTTTTCATTTTGATCCAGAATACCTTAGGCTCGTGATTTGACGCTGGACCAGATCACATTGCAACTTTTAGTATTTTTTTTTTTCCCAGAATATTTGCTACTTATTTCTTCTCAAGGTTTTTGGACTGAACGTTAAAAGTCGTATTACTGTTTAACCTATATTTTATCGGCTGAAAGAGATGTACGTTATACTTATAGTGAAATATATGAAAATATTAATTGGAAGAATAAATTTATACTTATATTCCCGGACACACTTGTATATATCTGTTTCGTGTGAGCATTTAAGACGGCATACTTGGCTGTTCGGGAGATGTACAACACTTTGTTTATTACACCCAAGCGCTGACACACAGTAGGGGGGGCAATTGAAGCTCAAAGGTCATGAAGCGAGGACCGCGACCAGATAAAGTTTTAGTGGCATTTACAAGGATTCTGCATTCACTTTTAAGTGATATTCAATATGAAATAAACTCAGCAAAACTGCAAACGAATACAAAAGAAATTTTTGAAAAATAAAAAATATATTCTCTTGGTTTGAATAGTTTTTTTTTTCTTTCTTCCTAATAATTATTGCAGCACTTCTTTTAACTACAGTTGCACGACAATTAGGCACAAAGTAAGTTCGCGGGGGAACGATCGCTCGCTTTTTTTTCTTTTTCTCAAAATAACTGATTTGGGGTTTAGCTACGACACCCATGCGAAGGGAGAATGCATACAATAATTCTATTATTTTTTTTCCAAGAAGACCTTGCTGGAAGTCTCCTAATTTACCTTCAGAAAGTTTAAGACGGATTTGAAACCTCTTTTCACGATTAATCGAAGATCAAAAAGCACGCTGGATGCACTCATCTGGTCAGAAAGCAGTCCATTTTCACATCGGTAACATCCAGTCGCAGTATCTCTGCCCTGCATCCTAGAATTGATCCAATGCTGCAGCATAGAGAAAATTTTCATTAATTGAAGAGAAGCCAACAGATGAATGAAATATGGCTGCAATTAGATGTTATCCGGCGCTGTATACTTTTGCTACGGATAGAATCAGCAAGAGTACACGATAAAGGTAGCAAGCACAATTGTCTCATTTTGGAGGCCAGGTGAGAAATCAGCTTGTTTTGTACCTGGGATGAGTGCGCCCAAGATCTCCGTGAACAAATTCCTTGATATATGTTCCAGCCTGGATTTCAAATATCATCACTAGTGTTTGAGTTTCCATTTCTTATGAACTTCACAAACCAAACTTCCAAAGACTAAAAGCAGTAACTAGAAACGTCAAAGAAGGCAGTTTGTTTCTTCAGTTGAAAGCCAATTGTTAACCACATCAGTCTGTCAGTCTCACACATAACAAAATTTTCGGCATCACAATAAATGAGAAAACAGAACAAGATTAGTATGTTTTGCACCAACGGGGATTGCTGGTGTATTGCCCAGTGGATGACACAATATTTTCCATATAAATAGTATAGTACATGGGAGTAGAATAGTTACCTGAGTGCAGAGATGCAGGAGAAAATATTGGGAACTTCCTACAATTCTCTCAATTTTCATCCTTTAGAAAAAGGAAACAGAAACAGAGTAAGCCATTTTGAGCATTAACAAAAATCGTCAAGCTTGAATAACACAATGTTTATGCATAATTAAATGTTCCAACCAATGAATAAGTTTTTCACGCTCTAATGGACTTCGGCGATGAAGCACCCTTATCGGGGTCCTCTGCAAAATTTGCTGCATGAGAACAAAGGAATTAAACGAGAAAGCTTACTGACAGTGAAGAAAAAACATATCCAAAAGAAAATGGCTTGCAAACCCGAAACAATAAAAATTTTTAATGCTAAAGGCATGTGGTGCAAATCCCAGAAGATTCTACAGAATAAACAGAAGCTGACGGTGTTCCTGATGCCTTTGTCCTCCAAATATTACCTATCCTAGTGACCCACAAAAAATCTAGAATCAATTTCCTCTTTTCTTACGTTGCCTATAAGTCTTCCATACTAATGTTCCAACCACCAACTTCAATACACAAGTCTGCCTGGCCTAAATTATCAGTTTTTATTATGCCAGTCAATTTTTAGTCAGACAGGTGGACCTACCTATCACCCTGGTGTTATTTAACACTGGCTTGATGCTTTCCTTGTTCCCACAGTGCTTACAGAGGATTCCTAAAAGTGTGGTAAATATTTTACACTTTCTAGTAATTTTCGGATGAAAGATATATGTTCAGTTTCCAAGTACAAGATGAAAAATTTTCCCAAACATAGGCTTCCAAACAAATTTGGTTGTCTTTCACTTTTTT